GGGTGCTGGGACAGGGGCGGCGCAGAGGTGTGGGTGTTGGGACAGCGGCGGCGCAAAGGTATGGGTGTTGGACAGCGGCGGCGCAGAGGTGTGGGGTGCTGGACAGGGGCGGCGCAGAGGTGTGGGTGCTGGGGACAGGGGGCGTTGCAGAGGCGGGGGTGTTAGGACAGGGCGTTGGCAGAGGCGGGGGGTGTTGTGAAAGCGGCGGCGCGGAGGTACGAACGCTGAGACAACGGAGGTGTAAAGGCACAGATGCCTGAATAGGGGCCGCACATCAACATGTGTCATGTGATGTTGTCATGGAGCAGGAGAGAACGATACTGAGCCAGAAGTGAGTGATATGAACACAAGGACAGAGGCGAGAGAGCAGCGCCGGTGGGAATGTGTGACAGGGCATTTGAACTGAGAGCTGAGACAGAAAAGTGGTGTGGACATAGTTTGTCATAAGAACCAGGTACTGGGACTAACTAAGACTGGGGACAGAACACGAGTGCAGTGCCAGGAACGCTCGGACAACTATGCAGCACCAGAACAGCGCAGTGAGCGCAATTGTCCCAGTCAGCGCGGAGAACCTCCAGTTGCCACAACCCCCGGTCATCGGTAAACAATATTTGAATGGGGGCGTGAAGTATATTAGCCCAAATTGGACCATGGTCTGGAACACATGGCCACGATCCACAATAGTAGTTCATTTGTTCTGCAGCGCACGCGGCCGCTTTGGTCATTAACCTTGTAATATGACTTCATGTAAGCAAAAGACGACCTGAATTCCTGGTTTTTCAATATGATGAGTTGAGAGTTCTGTGCTGGCAGGGATCCACCGTCACTATGAAGATGTCTTTGAGCATATAAGAGAAGACTTAACAGTGATAACTTGAAGTAGTCCCTGTATTGAGCTTCATAAACTTGATATAATTAGCACACCTTGAAACATCGAGTTTTATCGGGATAACCAATGATCACTTAATGCCATCGTTTAATTAGTCATTCTTGGTAGATCGTGCGCCGCCCCTTCCCCCCCCCCCCCTAACTCAATCGGTTAGAGCACCTGCTTCCCAATTTGCTGGTAGCAAGGAGGGTGGGCTCGAGTCGCTTAAGCGCTCGCTATTTCGCCCTGGCTGGGATGGCCTATGGCCTGTGGCAGCGGCCGTTAAAGGTCACATAAGGTCACGTGCGGGGCGGAACGTGTCGAGCATTCCGACATGCTAAACTTTCGCCATAAAATGATGCTGTTGACCTGGAAATTCACGACGGAATGATGGGTAAGGGCTCAGGCAATAAGCTCTGCTTAGTGCCTGCTAAACTCTGCTTAGTGGGATATGATCCAAGAAAATCATCCAATCAAAGTGTTGAGACAAGTTTGTTGTATGGAATAAGATATTAGAGGTCGATCATTATTACTACACCTAGTTAGTACGTAGTTAGTAGTTAGTAGCAGTTAGTAGTTAGTAGCAGTTAGTAGTTAGTAGCAGTTAGTAGTTAGTAGTTAGTAGTTAGCGGAAGCACCTGGGAGCACGGCACCCTTCGCCGGACTGGACACATTTCGCCTGGACGCGGGACACCGACAAATTGGGGAGAGGGTGCCCGGTGGCATCCGCCGCTTGGCGGCAGCGTTTGCTGCTTTGTGAACAGATACTCCTTGACAATGCTGCGCAGAAAACATGGTCACACTGAAAGGGATGACGGGCTTTTGATTCGACGAATGAGAACCTGTCGAAGCTGTAAAGTGCTCAAGCATATAAGCTTGTCACGCTAACATCGACAATGTTTCCCGTGAATTATTTGAAACGAAACATATAGAAGTAAAATCTTGAAGGGCATCATGGACTACGGTCTCTCATGAAAATACGTGCTTTTCTTTCCTGCTTGTAATTCAGACCTCCTTTCTTTACGAATAGCGATTAGTTACGGCGGTAGGGAGCTGTGATTATTGTTTACAGATCACAGATTTCCGTAAAGCCATAGCATCTATTTTAGTAAAGAAAGACGTGTATGAAGGTGCCACCGTGTTTTGAGGTATCGTCTAACTACGTATAGCCAAGGCTGCATCATTTTCAAGCCACAGCGGTTTTTTACGAAGACCTACTGGGCAAATGGTTGTCCAACACGCATCGAAATTGCTGTAATGCCCATAAACACTTGCTCTTAAGACACCGAGACATGGCTTGGCGGAGGCGCTTTCGGCTGTTTTAGATGCATCTCCCGGATCGTTCAACGCCGGAAAAGCTTGGAACGGCTGGAGCGACCCTCTTTCCCCCCGCTACGTTTTTTAGGCTTCTCCAAACTGTTCATCGCATCACCGTGAAATTTGACAGAAGTCACATTTACAGCTGATTACATATGGACTACACAAGTCGTGCTGATCATCAACCTATGACTT